GGAGACTTTTTGCCCATTTTCAGACTTATTAGACCTTTGTTTCCAAATTTCTGAGAGTTCCTTTTGGACTGCATGTGGCTAAACCCAGAGCTAGCTCAAGGAAGGGTATTTTCCTCTTGGCAATGGTAGGCTGTGTGCCAGAGTAAGAAGATATTTCCTGTCTTCTGATACTTACCACAGCAGTTCCCACCATTAGGCAGTTGTTAATGAAGATTTAGCAGAGGTTTTGTCTTAGAGCTTTTAAGGTGGAAGAGCCTAGAGTTGAGGGGAGACCAGGAGATAAGGGATCCCTGTAAACTTAAAACCAACTCTGGCATTTTTATTATTTCTTTGTTGTTTTGGGCTTTGCTAGTAGCCACTTTATGTAACATCGTGTCAGTTGAAATATTTGTCCACTAAGTTGGAAGCCTTGCGTTAAAAGACTTTACTCTGCAAAATGTGTTCCCAAAGGCAGGAGGTCAAACACACCCCACTGCTGAGCGCTTGCCATTGGCTGGGTTTCAATGAATTGCAAGCTCAGCATGTGCAGTTTTTTGATCACTTTTGAGATATTGATTCTTTTTGCACACTGTATGAGGACTCTAGACCTTAAATTTTGGCTTCTTCTCTGGGTATTAAAAGGGCCTGAAGTACACATCTACCTTATTGGCACCTAAATTGCTTAAGAAATCTTACTTCTTGTAAGCATGGCTAGAAACTTAATCTATTGTAATTATTTAAAAAGGTATGTAGAGCCCTTGTAAGTGCATGATTTGAACAGGATCCTAGTTACAGACATATTATTTACCATCCTAATCTGGCTCTGCATACTTATTCCCCTAATTCCTCACAACTGTTTGCTTTTTGGTTAGAAGGTACAAATTAAAAATTCCTATCACTCTGATGGGAGTATACTGTAAATCTAGCTCAGGAGCTCAGTCTGCTATTACTCCTGATCCTGATTTTTGCTTAATGGATGCTTCAGCCATTGAAATATGTTTGTAACCTAAGTAGATTCTGAGCCTTATCCTTAATTCATGGTTATTAGTTCATCTAAGATTCTGCTTACTAAATTGAACTCTCAAATCAGCCTTTGCAAGTTGAAGGCAGATACTAACACTTAAACTTGTTTTTCATCGTGTCCTGTCATGTGTGTATTTTTCCCAGATAGAGCCTTGTGCTTGTGAATTCCAAGCAACTCGCTCAAAGTTAATCCCTTTTGTGGGCTATTGATTTCTGTGAATTTCACTTTTAAACAGAACTGTGTGATGTCAGGGCTTTTAATGTACAGGTGCTGTTGACTCTTCTTGAATGAGGCATTTATTTAAACTGTTACCAAATAGTGGAATTTGATTAAATTGCATAAACCAAACAAAGCTTGTAATCTTCAGGCAAGAGTTTGTTCTTATGTCCTTCCTCTGTGTCCTCACTATGTGAAATTGTTTAAATAACCTTCCAAACAGTTATGATATAGATGGGGGAATTTAGTAGTAATGTTAATAAGATAACTAACACAGTTTGACTCCTGTTAGCTTAGTGTTATCTAATAGATAGTTGAGATACAATACTTCACATATCTGATTCTGTAGTTTATAGCCTTTTATTGGTTGTCTGAATATGTAAAAAAACCCCAAACCAAACGAAAACAAAAAAGGAGGGGGCGAAAAAAAGCCGAAAACAAGCAACAACCAAACCCAAACTGCCATTCTCCCCCCAAAAACAAAACAACAACAACAAAAAAACCCACCACCCAAAACCTCACCGGTGTTGTTAGTACAGGCTGTATCTGATGGAATACTTGCAACACAGTGACTGGTTATCCATTATTCTCTGGCTTGGTGGAGGTAAAATAGGCAGCTATGTGTGTATCTCTTGGCTGAGTCTACACAATACCTCTCAATACCAATCTTTGAGAAGATAGGTAATAAGAGATACTGCTTGGTTGCACAGCTTTCTCTAGCTGATTGGGAAATGTGACTACTCACATTTCTGTGTGACAAATAAGAATGTCATTCTAGTCTTAAAAGCATAAAGAATTTTTTTTCAAATGCACCAAGAGAGAAAGAAGCAGCATGTTTGTTTTTTAAGTTGTTTACAAGAGGAAAAAGTTACTGCTAGCACAAGGAAAGAAAATACAATTAATGACAATGGAAAAAGCATCACTTCAGGTCCATTGTATTAACCAGATCTATATTTATCTTAAAGTATATTTCCTGACCTTCTGAAACCTCTTATTTTTTAGTGATGTGCTTTTAGGGAACAAACCAACTCCGAATGCTATAACTCAGTGTTCTTTCAGTATATAATGAACATTAAGATCATGTAATTTGGGCAATTTTTTTTTCTAATGTGTAATGTCTGTTAAACTAGCTGTTCTTTTTTTTTACCTAAGTACTAAAATAATTTTTCTTTGGATGTATTCCAAAGGTGTGGTATGTGACAACACTTGTTATAAAGCAGGTCTGTGTAAGTGCTGAGTCGAGTGGCAATTACAATTTTTTAGAGCCCTCATAATAACCATGAAGCTATAATAATGATTGGGGCTACATCCATCTAGTGGGTAGATGCTTTACTTAGAGCTGGATTTGTGTTAGAAGGGCTTCTACTTAAGCCTGGGTAGTTTTTTCCAGTTATGTAATATACTTAGTATCTTGCTGAACTTAAGTTATGTTGACCAAAACTTTTTCTGCTCCAAAAAGGAAAACAAGCTAAGAAAATATTTTGATCAAAATACTTTTCTCTAAATGGCTCTATTTCATTGTTCAAGAAGTTGGACAGGAAAGTAACAGTTTTATATCTGGAAAATTGTGTCTTTGTGCCATGATGAAAGCCTCCAAAAAGTTTCCTGGCTTATCTGCATATGACTGTCCCTGACCAACTCTCTGTCCTTCCAGAGACCTGGTGTTAGATGGTTCGCTTTCATTTGGATCATAAGAAATCCTGCTAGTAGTATTCTTGGGCAAAAAAATGTATTAAATTACAGAGAAGAATTAAGACAGGATCTTACTGTAGCTTGTTTGAGACTGCAGAGGAGACGAATAGGGGAGCTAAGAACATGAACTTAACTGTCTTGGTGCTGATAAATCCAATATTTGCTTACCCTTAAGATGTTTTAAAGCAGTAAACTCCTTTCTACAGAAAGCTAATGAATTTTACATTAAAAAAGTTGATAAACAAAAGTTTTTAGAACTGGGTTTGACCAGCACAAGCCTCAGCGTTGAAGGACTCATCCTGGCCTGTATCAGGAACAGTGTGGTAACAGGTCCAGGGAAGTGATTCTGCCCCTGTACTCAGTGCTGGTGAGGCCACACCTTGAGTATTGTGTTCAGTTCTGGGCCCCTCAGTTCAGGAAGGATATTGAGGTGCTGGAGCAGGTCCAGAGAAGAGCAACAAGGCTGGTGAAGGGACTGGAGCACAAGTCCTATGAGGAGAGGCTGAGGGAGCTGGGGTTTTTCAGCCTGGAGAAGAGGAGGCTCAGGGGAGACCTCATCACTCTCTACAACTACCTGAAAGGAGGTCGTAGCCGGGGTTGGGGGTGGGTGTTGGTCTCTTCTCCCAGGCAACCAGCAGTAGGACAAGAGGGCATGGTCTAAAGCTCTGCCAAGGGAGGTTTAGGTTGGATATTAGGAAGAAACATTTTACAGATGAGACTGGATGTGGCACTTAGTGCCATGGTCTAGTAACCATGGCCATGTTGGATCAAGGACTGGACTTGATGATCTTGGAGGTCTTTTCCAACCCATTTGATTCTATGATCAGAGAAATTATTCTACCTATATCTTGACCATTAGAAAGGTTTCCAGCTAGAAGCTTTTGCTCATTTGTGCCTTGGGTAAAGATGCTATCTTTTAAATAAAGGCCCACTATATTTTAGCATTTAATAACTGGGACTAACTTAGTAGAGCATGGGTTTAAAAGGTTTGATCACCTCAGTATTTAGGAATTCTGTTTTTTGTATGTTGTGCATGGATTTAGGGAAAAATGAAGATTATTCTGCTGAGCTTATACATAAGTTTTGGAGTAACAGATGTGAAAATGAATGTGGTTCAGGAGTATGTTTCTCTTGTTTGGATCTAGAATTGAGAAAGAATATATTCAATAGTTTTATTTTTCCTGTTCATTTATAAGCTCTATTTAATTTTTTAATTTTGTGGTGTGAGCAGTGACTGGTCCCAAAATTTGCCTTGAAATCTGTAGAAGAATAAAATTTCTTTTAGATACTGTCATAAAGAACCAAAACAAGTAAGTACAGTTAGAGTGAATAGAGCAACGGACACAACATGAGAATTGAACCATGGTAAGCTGTTGATGAGCAGCCCTTGTAGCTTTCCTCTAAGGTTTTCTTCTTTTAAAAATACTCTACTTGAACATCATGGTGTAGATCTTAATGAGATGTTTGGTTTTGGAGTGTGGTTTGATATATCCAGCTTCTAAAATACACCTGCTTCCTGTACATAGTAACATCATAATTATAGAAATATAATTGCCTTTTTTAAGGAGGTATTTTGAGGCAAGGAGTACTTAATGCCTGAAGTTGAATATGCTATTTCTGTACTTATCATCTAGGTTATTCTTTAAATGGCCATCTACCTGGGAGATGGCAAGGACACAGAACATATAGACTAAAAAAAAGCAGTAACAAATTTAATAACAATGTGAACTGCATCACTGTTATAGCTGTAATTATGTGTTGGTTAGTGCTCACCTTATGAAGAAGATATTTAGACTAAAATAAATTTTAGACTGGCTTGTCTTGAAATAGTCTTTGTTACAAGGAGGCGGTTATCCAAATTGCTGTTAAAAAAATAAAAATCCTAACCTAAATGGAGAGTTTATGGAAAACCTATGGAAGTTTGTTAAAACTGTTTGGGTTTTTTTTTGTTTGTTTTGGTTTTTTTGTTTGTTTGTTTGTTTGTTTTGTTGTTTTGGGTTTTTTGTTTGTTTGTTTTTTTATTCTTTAGTAGTGCTTTTTAAGTAATTCAAGTGTTGAAATGGTAAATGGTCATCTCCTGCTCTTTCAGTGTAGAGATTGGTGAAAGTGTGAGAGGGGAAGATGTATATATTATCCAGAGTGGCTGTGGAGAAATAAATGACAACTTAATGGAACTACTCATCATGATCAATGCTTGCAAGATTGCATCATCCTCCAGAGTGACTGCTGTAATTCCATGTTTTCCATATGCCAGGCAAGATAAGAAAGACAAGGTAGGTAAGAACTGTGTCATTTTGGAAGGCTTTTGTTCAGCTTGCTCACTTGGAATTTTTGGAGATTAATAATTTTCATAAATATTTAAGTGATTTGAAAGATTTGATCCCCCTCCCCTCCATCTTTTTTTTTTTGTGTAAAATGTTTAATTAATTTATTTATAAGTGAATGAAGTGAGACAATTTTTATTTGCTTGTGTTTTGCTAATTGACATGCCTTCAGTTTGCAAAAATAGGTACATTATATGTGTGTGGTATATTGCAGAGTACTTTGCTAGCAAACCTCACCTTATGGGATTGGTTTTGCCTGCATTTTCAAAGTTTTGGAGTTGGTTTGTTTGGGGTTTTTTCCATCTCTGTATATGAAGAGAGTACACCCTTTTTAGCAATTTAATTGCATGGAATTAAATCCTAAATTTGAACTGCTGTAACAGTTATGCAGGTAGGTTTTAGCCTATATGGTTAAACAGATTGAAATGGAAGGAACTGATAAAATCTGCAGTTCATAACAATAATTAATAAAAACATTATTTTTTGCTGCCAGACAGATTAAAAAGAAGTTTTTATATTTATAACAATTACTTTGATATATACAGACCAAAAATTGTGTGAAAATCCCATAAATACTCTTCTGATTTTAGTACCCTTTTCCTGAATTTGATTTGTCATAGCTGATAAATATATCAGTTCAGCCAAGTTGGTAACACAGTAACAAACTCTCTATGGCAAGTAAGACTGATTTTGAAAAGTATATAACTAGACTTTTGTCTCTCTGATTGGATATGTGAATGTTACTTTTACCTAAACTCATTTGAAAAGAAGTAATAAGGAATGTGATTTTGGCTTTAAAGATTGGATTGCAGTGATTATATTTTTGGGAAAATTTGCCGCTCTCCTGTACTTCTCATAAATGCACTGCCCCCTCTCTTTCACTTTGGGCATCAAGCCCATCCTGAAAGCCTTCTGTTGTTCTTTTATTAAAAAAATAACAGACTGAGAAGTAATGCAGAAGCTAAAAATAATAGCAGTTATTACAAAACATGTACTGTGATGTCTAAGAACAAAACTAAATACAAGAGGTTTTTTCTGGTATACACTTTCTTTAAGTGCAGGCTCTGTAACACCATACTAATATTACCAAGACCCACTTGTTATTCTTCCAAAAATGGAATTCAGGAGTTAAATAATAATACCCTGTTCTTTCTTTACCTGCATGTTTTGGTACTTCATTTTTGCTGTGTTTTGTATTGAACAATGCTTTCCCTTGATCCGGAGAGGTGAAATACTTCTTTATATCAAAAGACCTTGAAAGTGAACCAAAAAACATTTTGGTGAAAAGGAAGGAAAGCATCTCACTATGTTTTGATTTTACCAATTCGTATGGGAAGATTCTGCCAGACCATCCTCTAAGTTCTTGGTGTAGGAAAAGGATGAGTATATTCCACATTTTTTGTGCATCTAGATTATGTCTTGTCAAGGGTAGTCAAAATCCATCTGGCAGACTTCCAAGAGACACTTAAACCCCCAGTGTGGTGGCACAGCATGCCATCAAGGAGCATTTTGTATTTTGGAAATGGCATGTGAAGATGGATAGCCTAGGAAAATGATTTTGATTAACAGGGGTTTAGAGGTTTTTTTCCAGGCTGTTCTGTGTCTCTAATTCCACAATTTTAGACAAAATGCGTTTTTTTGTTTATGTTGGGGTTTTTTTCTCCCCTCTGTTTTGCAGTTGAGAAAATGTTTGCCATCTTTGGAAATTAACCTTGGTAGTTGACCCCCATGTTGCAAAATAAGCTATAATATAGTTGCTGACATGGGGCAGCTTATTGACAGGGACATCTTTCCTCCTACTGTTGAATTGCATCACATGACTTGTTCTTTGACCCATGTTGAGTGCACAAGCTTTGTATGCTGCCTGAAGTGTCAGTAAAGTGCCAGCCATTTTCTTCCTATGATTGTACACAGATTTTCTTCTATGGTGAAAGATATTGCTGTAGTTTGCTTGACTTATCACTGAAGCAGTATAATCTTCACTAGTGCAATGCTATTTTCTGGTTTGAATTTAAGTTATTGACTTTAATTCATTAAGAACTAAATAGACTGAGTCCTTTCTGCTTAAAATAACCATGTATTCTTCATACCTCTCTGTAGTTATGATTGCTGAGAACAATAAAAGTGCTCTTGACTTGTTTATGTAAGGAAAGGGCTTAGCAGTACAAATCTTATTCTGAGCAAGGCCTTTGTAAATATACTTGGGAAATTTTAGCACTAAACCTGGACTAGCTTTAAATGGGAAATAGAAGTTAAAAAAAAGGCTTACTGAGAATCATAGAGAAGTTGGCAAATTAATTTAGACTCAATCACGTGCTTCCCTAAACCAGAATATTTCTGATGCACAAGCTAGCTAACTTAAAATTAGCTCAGGTGTGTCTGTGCTTTGGCCGTAACTGCATTTATATATCCTGTAATTATGCTAACCTTCCAAGCTGTGGGCAGGACACATTTCTGTAGGATACTGCAGCGATGCCTTTGAGATAAGTCAGAAGTACAGTGACAGGTGAGTTTGGTGTTCTACCACTCATGTAACTTTGTTTTTTTGATTTGTAGAAGGGGTCCGTGGAGCGTTGGGTAGGTATCTTTTTTTTTTTTTTTTAAATCTAACACTATGCATTTTCCATTAATGAGGCCTTAAAGGGTGAAACTTACTGGGTTATGTATAACTAGGAATATTTCCAGTTTCACTTCTTGATTTCAGTTGTGTTTCACCTAGGCCATGACAGTAATCCTTTAGAATAATTTGCTTTAAGAAAACTCCTAGATTCTGGTTAAAAATTTATTTGGACATTCAAGATAATGGCTGTCAACTTCTGAAGCTTCAAAGCATATCTCATTTTTGAAATGATAAATTTGGGTAATACATTAGTGAACATTCAGTATCCATACACTTCACAACTGGCTTTCTTGGAAGTGAAAGTTCCAGTTATAAATCTTTTTTTTTTTTTTTTTTTTGTTTGGCATGCATGTGATGAATATTGAGCAAGACAATGTAATAAGATGCTTGAAGGCAACAGAGCCTTGATCTTGGTGGACAACTTTTACTTTCAGCTATGTGTCCATTGCACAGTTACTCTTGTTAGGTTGTTTACATTAGCTTTGTGGATTCCCCTTGCTCCTGGTAATTCAAGTGATTTTTCTACAATTTACTTTCTGTACCTAATTTAATGCTGCATTTCGCACTAATAATTCTGAAACCAATCTAAAATTGTATCAAAGAATGGAACAATGAATACTGTGAATCTCTGTTCTTACCTCTCTCGTCAGAAGCAAACCTTACAAACTGCAATGTAAAGAAAATCATGACTTCTCATCTTTGTCATCCAAGTTTCTGAATAATGAGGCCAGGTTATCTGAAGTTCCCATGAATATACTGTCTTTGATTTTAAAATAATCTTCAATTTGGATCATACTGTAGCACAAAACTTAGATTCTCTGCAAGCAATATTAAATTAATATTAATGCAAATATTAAATCCTTTTGAATGTGTCATGTGGGTTTTCTTTTAATGCACAATTTTGGGTAAAGGAAGCTGTCAGCTACAAACTTCTTTTGCCTTAATGTCTATTAGCCCATTCTTGAGAAAACAGATATTGGTGTCTGGCTAACTTTCCTTACAAGACCCTCTGTCCACCAACACATAGGCAATCTGTGATGTGTGCATATCTGCTAAAACAAGTTACCTAGTGGTAAAACTTCAAGTTCTTCCTTCTGGGAAGGCAGCCTGCAAGGCCAGCAGCTGAAAGAAGTACCAACTGGTAATGTATACATTAGTATGTGATGCAGGAAAGTATTTTGTTTGGGTCTTCTTTGTGATAGCGATACTCATGGTACTGATACATGAGAAAAACTGAATGGTATTCACATTGAACAAAATGAAAAAAACCAAAGGCAAAATTCAGTGTGCTGGATGGAGTGAAAATGGCAAACCACACTCTGAGAAGAATGTAATTTGCCTTTAGCTGCTAGCCTGAACTAGTTACTTGTTTCTACCAGTGGGGGTGGTCCTGGTTTGTCATCTTCTTTTCCCTTCCCTTCCACTTCAGCAGCTAACTCACATGGCTGCTGTTGGTTTAGACAAGTCCTGGTCTGCAGCACAAGGGAAGTGGTGGAAGTGTCTAGCCTGGAAAGCAGGGATGGGACAAGCAGGGGAGCAAACTTCTAATTTCAGCATCACCTGTTAGTCCAGCTAAGTGGAAGCTTTAAAACAAATCTTTGCAAGGAGCTGGTAAGAGAACACTGCGATAGAATAAAAAGAGTAGATACTAAGTCTTTCTTTTGTTAGATGTTGCCAGAGATTTGAGAATATTTTGAAGTCCAGCTTAAAAATGTCAGATGCTATGATCAGGAATTCAAATGGCACGAACAAAATGTTTGCTACTAATAATAGAAATATCCAGAAAGCCTTGGAGAACTTTGACCTTACAGAACTGAAATTAAGAGCACCACAGTCCTCAGTAAGTGGAAAATCAACTGTGCTGAAGTGCTAATGATAAATTCTTATGGAATCTGCATCTTCTGCATCTGAATTGCAGACATCTAGGGAAGTGCTAGCTGTTGCATCTGCCTTCTGTCTATCTTACACAGACCAAATGGTGGTGATGTTCGGTGAAACACAGGGCCCAAAAGGCATGGTTTTCAAAATGAAGAATTTCAGTAATGATGGTGATATGCTGTATCTAGCCATGAGAAAGGCTGCAGTATCTCAGTTTCTGTTCTGGAAGTGTGTTGTCAATCTGTAGGTTAAAACAGAAATGACAAGTTTCCACCTAAATTAGCAGAAGTTTTAAGGAAAATATTGGTTCCTTGACAGGACACAGACGGAAAAGAATCTAAGTTAAATTGGAAGTGATTCAGGTCATTGTCAGTTATGCCCTTGAGCATCAATGGAAGTAAAGCAGAGATACTCTGTAATTGTTTGTGGGGTGTGGATGGAGAGGAGGTTTCTAGGAGGCTAATGAGGCTGTTTGATAAGAGAGTTCACAGGAGAGAATACTGTGCCCGCAAAAACCAGTCTGCCAGTGAGACAGAGATTGAATGGCAGTTCTGCCTTCATGCTAATGTTATTGCCAGCTATTAGCCCTATTTAAAGATTGACAAAAAGAAAGCAGCAGGTTTTGTTTAGTATTTCTGTTAGAGAAAACTGTCCAGGGCAGCATTGCTTTTTACAGAGCTTAAAAAAATCTGATAAAATTTTGAAGTTGCTCCAAAATCAAAAGTGGGGTATCTTCCAGTCATAGTTTCTATCTTTTTTTTTTAACTTTGCTCTTTGTTTGGGATGCTTTTAAAGAGCTTTTGACATTGGCATTAACTTGTTAATAAGATTTTTATTCTTCTTTTGTTCTTTTCACTTCTTAGGGTTTTTTTTTTCATTCCTCCTGTCCCTTTTGGGAATTCTAAACTCCTAATTGCATCCAAGAATTAAACATGAATTAACAAAAAAAGAATGAATAAATAAATAGGCTAGGGTAGAAGACCCTTACCGATAAGGATCTGCTATAGACTTTAATGTGTCATGAAGAAATGCTTGATACTAACATTGTTTTAAAGCAGCGTTCTCAAAAGTTGGGTTCACTTTACCTTTGATCTATGGTTTTTGCAGTGCTTTTAGAACAGGGTAGTTGCTTTAGAGTTGGATGTCTGTGTAGGGTAATGAATTAGAGAAATAGAGATTGTCTTCTGCTATAGGAAAGATATTTGAAAGTTGTAAGCAGAACTGGAAAACTATATCCCCAATTTTATATCTTTTTAATACAAAGCATTATTAGGCAGACTGTGCAAACTGATTTAGATATACCTGAATACTTTGCTGAGTTTCAAAACCCTAGTAGCAAGACAAGCTATTGACAGGATAGTTTGGCAAAAGTTCTGGAACTTTTCATATTTAGATTCCAAATATTCTAAAGAAAAAAACCCAATAAAAGTAACTAAACTACTTCTTGCATCTAGTCAAAATATTGTTAAAATTAAAGCATTTGTGCTTTATTCCTCAGAGTCGTGCACCAATCTCTGCAAAACTTGTTGCCAACATGTTGTCAGTTGCAGGGGCTGACCACATCATCACCATGGACTTGCACGCTTCTCAGATCCAGGTAACTATTGGTTCTTACTAGTTGTGCCTAGGAGCTCTACTGAACTGATGGGAAAGGCTAGTAGTAATTCTCTGCCTTTTCTCATTGTTTTGATAGGCTATGTACAGGACTCCCAGGGTTCAGAGAAAGTCTCACTACCTGTTTCTAATTAAATTCCCTTTTAGAAAGAGACCAGTCTTGATCTTATGGGGTGATTTTGCAGGCATTTCAAATATTTGTGCATTGGAGTCTTCAGTAAAATTTGCCAAGCCTAATGTAAGAGCTTCGAGAACATAAAATATACTGGCTTGCGGCAAGTTCTCTTAATCTGAGCCTTGTCAGAATTATAGTGTTGCCCTAGGTAGAGTTTTGTTGTTACAACAAAGGGTACAGTATTCTCTTAAAAGAAGTGAAGATGAAGGTTGGCAACACTTACCTGGCTTACTGCTGAATCCAACAAATCACAAGACTTTTTGCTCAGTAATAGAGCAGACATCATTCATCATTCTCATGTGTACCTTGTTTTAAGATACCTTATTTTTTCTAGAGAATATCTTATCTTCCAGGTCTGGCATTCTGTTTAATCAGAATTTCTTCTTATGCTAGATGGCTGTCACTCAAATAAGAAGTAGTTTCATTTGTGGTTTAACATAGGTTTCTTATCTTTACAATTCGGACAAAAACAAAGATTCTACTGCTCAAGTAATACTAGCTGGAGTCTTCCCTGTGTTGAAATACTGCTGTTCATGTCAAGCAGTTGAAATTTATAAAAGTTATGTATTACTCACTGGATTTTTTGAGAGCTTTTCACTAGCATAAATTTACTTGAGTGCCTGAAGGTGATCACCTTTTCTGATTTTTTTATGTCAATTGAGAACATCTGTTCTCTGATTCACTACTCTTGAGTGAGATTTTTAGAGACCTTAGTATTTGTTTGACTTGAGCAGCATTTGACAGTAGTATCAGAGGGCAGAATTAGGCCAGTGTAAAATCCTAATTCAAGTTCTACCATTCAGAAAGGCAAAGGCTTGATTCTTTCCCTCTATCTTTGTTTCAGGTAAGATACAAACATATATTCATGAAATTCTTTCTTTTTTGGACTAGGGTTTCTTTGACATTCCAGTAGATAACCTGTATGCAGAACCTGCAGTGCTGCAGTGGATTAAAGAGAACATTCCTGAGTGGAGAAATTGTATCATAGTCTCACCTGATGCAGGTGGTGCAAAAAGGTACTATATAAGCTTAAAACTATTAGTTTTACATATAGTTAGTGGTTAATGAACTAGTTTGTCTAGTCTTCTATTTTCCTCTATGAAATGTGCGAGATATAGGGTACATCACTGATGAATCCAACTACATTGTAAAAACAGAATAATAGTCCTTCCAATGTTGTTCGTGCTTGAAAACATTCAGGACCTTTCTATACTCTAAAGAAAATATTTTTCTCTCTCCCTGGATGTGGCCTCATTAGCTGAATCCCTCCACAGGAGGGGAGAGATTTTTCCCGCTACTTGCTTCTTTAGTCCAGTTGCTGCACCTCTTCCTGCTTCACTCTGGAATTGCCTAAGCTTCCATTCTCTGTCAAAACATATGACCTATTCCCACTGTACCTGCTGACATTTAGGTAAGAGCTTGCTTGACTCGTATTTCCTTTTTCTTTATGTTATTGCATTCGAGCTGTAAACCTATTGACCCTGAGTTTTGCATTATAAATACTGAAAAAAGGGAGTGAAGTGGTAAAACGAAAAAATAGAAAACTTAGTTCGTTTCTTCATTCACAGCATGTGTTACTCACTTAGCAGACTATCTTTTATTTGGTATCGATTGAGTGTAAACCATTGCAAAAGCTCAGTAGCACACTGGCTGCTGAGGTGATAAAGCATGCCATTGAGGCAAGGTGCTTATTCTCAAGTTTTATTGTTTGTACTGCTGCTGCAAAGGGAACAAAGAAAAATGAAATAATAATCCTGTAAGTCCATAGAAATTTATATTTCTGAAATGTAGTATGGGGGAAAATGTGAAAGATTGTCATAATTTTATTTTAATTGAAATCTTTGGGTCTTTTGTGAGTGTTCATGTTGTAATGATTAGTAGGGAAATAAGACTGATTACAACTTCATAGTTGTTCGTTTTTAGATTAATCAAGGATGTAAAGAATATAAACTATAGAAAGCATTCTAAAGGTCAGATGACTGAGTCGATTAAATTTCTTTGTTCATTCCTGTCTGGATACTGTTACTTTCACAGTTGTTTTTTGTTTGAAATTGTTTTTGTTTGGTTTTGTTTTTAAACAAAATACATTCTTTGCTTAGAATTCAAGTCCCAAGACAGCATTTTTCCCCCTGCCCAGTATTTTTGATTAAGTTAATCATAAAAGTTTATTTTTTGAAGATCACTTTCACTGTATTTAATACAGATAGTTGCAGTCTATCTTTAGTATCTTTCTTGTAATGCAACCAAACAGTTGCTGGTTAAGTAGAGGCAGATGTTGCTTTCAATAAAGTCACAGCTTCTCCTTCACCTCCTGCAATGTAATGTGAAGAATATGGTTTGGCCTTTCCATTTAAAATATGTAGAACTACAAAGTAATACTTAATGGAAAGTGAATAGAATGTGAAAATTGAACGTGAATTGGCTCAAAATTTAAATCAGTAAGGATTAATTAAAAAAAAAAAAATCCATGTTCTTGCACTTATTTAAAATATCTGAATTCTTTTTGTTTCTTACCATTTGTTTGTTTGTTCCCCAGCTTATTAAATGTTGTGACTGAAATAAGGCATACAAATTCTATTGAGGCTCTGAGGTATTGAGACTTGATATTAAATCACACTATTCACAAAAAATTTCAAAACTTTTGGATTTTTTGTTTATTATGCAGTTGTTGAAATACTGTAACAACTCCTTCATATTTAAGTGGTAAAGAAACAAAACTGTATTCTCTATTAACCATGCATGTTAAGAAGCTTGTTAACAACGTTCTAAATATATTCTAAAAATACAGGTTACAAGGTTGCACTAGCATTTAAAAGACAGCATGGAATTGTTTATTCCTGTGTCTTGATACCTAACAGCTCTGATATATTATACTGAAGAAAGCAATCAGAAGTCTATAACAAGTTAAATTTATTATTGGAAGTTTGTCTGGCCAGCAGAGGTCACCCTGAGTAGTTTTAAAAGATCTTTGTCAAGCAGATGTACGCTGAGGGAATTATTAATGAAGCAAGCTACTTGATTACTATTCAAGTACTGTGAAAAGAATTATTAATCTCTGTTACCTGTTTTGGTTTTTCCCCTTTGGTTTGGTTTCACATCCTGCAATGGTGTTTTTCAGTTAGAATATTAAAGTGCATGCTCCAGTAGGCTTAGAATTGACTTAGAATTTCCTCTGCTTTAAATTACCTAGTGTGACTTGTATTGCAACAACTTAATAAAAGCTTGTGAAAAGCTGAAATGTTTTCAAAGCCAGGCACTTAATGACAGAAAACCAAAATCAATTCAATTAAAAAAATCAATTTTTGGAGTATAACTTAAGACACTCTGGTTGTATTTATTAGCAATGAATTAAGATTATTTCTGCCTGTCTCATTCCTTGCAAAAGTTTTTGCTGTGGTAATTTGAAAGCCAGGAAACAAAAACTGTGGTTTTTGACAAATACATATGTATGACTGTTCTTTCTTTTAAAATGGTTCTCTAAATATGGTGTATTTCTTCCCATAACTCAGGGTTACTTCAATTGCTGATAGACTGAATGTGGAATTTGCTCTCATTCATAAGGAAAGAAAGAAGGCAAATGAAGTGGACAGAATGGTCTTGGTTGGTGACGTGAAAGATAGAGTAGCAATTCTTGTCGATGATATGGCTGACACATGTGGCACAATATGTCATGCAGCAGAGAAGTAAGTATTATTGTGAACTGGCTCACTGTTCTCACTGTACTGCAACCTGGAGACAGCTGATGAATGCAGTCTTCCTGCATGCCTATAACCCTGCCTGACATCTGTAGCATGAAGTCATTCTGATCCTTGAGTCTATAGGTCACAGTTCTGTGATCAAGCTGTGTCCTTCTTTAAAACATGGAATTGAGAAAATATTTACAGAAATACGTTATTTGTTTTTAGGAAGAGCACAGAATAAATAAAATGTCATATAACTTGAAAGAGATTTGGGCTGTCTAATGCACTTTACAGTCAAAATCACAAACTGCCTAGCCAACAATATTTTTTTTTATACTCCTGTGCTTAGAGGAAGTTAATTCCTGTCAAAAAGAAGGCCGTTATTTTTTTCCTGTTATGAAAGAAGCACTGTTTATTTACCTGCAGTAGATTTCTAGAGACCAAATTTTAAAACCATCAAACACCTTCAAAGTATCCGCAGTGTTCACTGAGAAAGATGCATTTGCTTGAGTGATGCTGCCTTATATCATATTGTTGGCATAAAGTAGTGCTTTTCAGTAAAGTCAAATCTAGGTGGGATGTATTTTGTGTTTAATTAGACTTGATCACCAAAATACTTCTTAGAACTCCTTTTATCTTAGCAACCTAGATGCATATCAAGCAGATGAACTAAGAAATGTATTTTCAGATACAGCAGATCAACTTAAGTACAAACTTAAGCACATACCCTTGGTACCCACTCTGTCAAGCTGCATCTTCCTTGGAGGTTACTTACCTCCTTGCAGCTACGAAATGTATTGCTGAGAATGACCAGAAAACTTAGATTTTTTTTTTAGTCATTCAAAATGAGATGATGTTTCTGTGGGTTTTTTTCTCTCTTATGCTTCCTCCTGTGCCTTTGTGATGATCCGATAACATACCATTCTTCAGGGTCTCTGTTTGCAAGGCTAGAAAAGCAGTTAGGACATAGCTGAGCATTTAGAGGCATGAGACCAGTAAAAAACCAAATTGAAGATATTTTGACTTATTCACAAGGTGTTCTAGTTCTTTGATTTATACTTTCTTTTTTCTTCCTCCTCTGCTGCACCAGTTCGCTGAGTGCTTGCATCAGCAGCATGTCTTCTCTCAACCTTGCAGCAAGCTAGGCTTTTAATCATTAACATTTGTTCTTCCTCAGAAACTCCTTCCAAGCAGAACTCTTTGAATTGCAGATGAAAATAAAGGTGGACGATAATGGAGACACAATAGGGTTGTGAATGCTGCCATCCAACCTACTTGATTTTAAGATAGAAAACTTGTACTGGAGTTCAGTTGTGTGTTGTGCTGATAGGGTCAAAATGCAGCAATTTAAATTAGTATCGCTGCTGCAAATAAGAACTCTTTTATTTAATTATCAGTGTATGGGGTTGTTTTTGGTTTCTTTTGAGACAGTTCTAAACTTTTTCAGCTTATACAAATGTCTGAATTATTTTGTAGGTATTTTATGTGTAGGAATTTGTGAGTAAAATGTATTTTAGAGATTTGTATCTGGCTTTAGCTATGTATGTAAACATGCATCACGTCATACTTTTCTTGTATGTTCTACAGGTTGGTGTCTGCTGGAGCTACTAAAGTTTATGCCATTCTCACTCATGGCATCTTTTCTGGTCCTGCCCTCTCTCGGATTAATAATGCTTCGTTTGAGGCTGTTGTGGTAACCAATACAATCCCCCAAGAGGAGAAAATGAAACACTGCCCAAAAATACAGGTACAGTGGTATTTTTGTTTAGTTTCTTTAAACTCTGGTTTTGTGTTTTACTGTTCACTGGTGCTAGAATTTGTGCCTTGAGAGGAAATTAATATTCTAAAATACATGGTTTGCAAAATGTTTTGCTAAAACATGCCAAAGAACTGTTTTAAGGGGATTCAGGTAGTACAATAGAGCATTGCAAAATATTTGATATTTGCCGCACCTTGAGTATGCTTGCTTGTGAAAGAGTGGCAAATGTAAAATTGACTGGATTTTGGTGGTTTTTTTTTTAATCAATATTAATCATACAATATTTTCATGCAGGAACTTATGTTATTGTGGAGGCCACAGAAATCTTAGACTTTTTTCTTGAAAAACACTAGTGGAATTGTTCTGGGAAATCATGTGTTTCATTGGCGGTTTTCTTTAGTATAGAGTGGAGAAAAGCATAAAAGATTGGGGGTTTTAATGCATTATTGGATTTTTTTTAAAAGCCTAACATTTATTTGGTATTTATTGAAACAAGACAAGCACTTAAAAGGTGTACTTCCTCTAAACTGTATTTGTGTCAAGCAGACACTGCCATCTGATGGCAAGAATAGTGGGGGTTTTTCACAACATGCCTTTTATCAGAAGTCTTAACGATATTACTGTGCAACAATCTTAGTCAGTGCTTTCTTACTCAGTTTTTGAGTTCTACTCTGTTATTATGTATATGTTCAATACCTAAAGTTTTAATGTTATAATTCTTCCTAGAAATAAGAGAGCACAATGGTAGATTGAATGTTTGTCTATATGTTTATAAACTGCATAGTTTTATTGTTCTTGGCATCTCATAAAATTTTTCTTATTGATTTTTCTTTCAGTTTATTGACATTTCCATGATCCTGGCAGAGGCAATTCGAAGAACACACAATGGTGAATCTGTGTCCTACCTGTTCAGTCATGTGCCCTTGTAACTGTAGGAGATTACACTGCATCTTTGCAAAGGTCCCTTAAGCTAGCACTGTTTTTGATGATGGACATCAACCACAAGAAATGAGTATCTTTGTACAATTCCAAAGCTTGTATGTTTAATTATTATATTTGTCTTGAAATCACCACTTGTTTGTTATAAATGGGCAATAAATCTCCATCTTGAAGCAACCTTATGAATTGCCTCAAGAGTCTGAAAGTCTTCTGTGTTGCTTAAGTTCTCTTTTATGTGCCTGTCCTCTCTGCCAAACTGCTGTTTTGGATCCATTTTTCCATAGAGAACTACAAATTGTTCACAGATCTTAATGAGATGTATACGTGTAAGATCATTTTCTGTGTTCAACTAAGTGCTGCAGACTTGAGTATCTTATATCTATTAATCTGTTGGGCAGGCAGCTGGTTTTTTTGTTTGTTTTTTATATTTAATTACCATGAATAATATTTTGTAAGCCCTAACAGTATGTAAAGGTCATGCTAATTTTGAGTAACTGTTGACATACACATAGTATTAACTGTTTCGTACACTTCATGTTCATATTTACCCACAAGATACATGGGGCTGCTGTTTCCTTTTGTAAAGCTCTCATTACATTAAATGATTTGCATAACATCCATTCCATGCAGTTACTGTCTGCAGTTGTAAGACTAATGTTTCAGTATTCCTGGGGTTATTAGTATCCCTTATTTCAATAATAAGGACCAACCTTTAATCATTAGCAATTTGGTTTAAATTTCCTTTTTTCTTTGTAGTTTTTACCATTCTTGGATTGTGATAATATGAATATTTTTGTAGCAGTTTTCCTTTTAATATTGTAAATGTTTACTGTGCAAAGTCCAAACAGAAAACTTAAACACACTTACATGAATTGGTCTCTACCCAAATCTACGTGGTCAAAAAGTAGCTGAAATATTTATTGTTTTTATTTTCAAACTGCACAGTTAATAGATCATCAAGTTTCTGTTACAAAGTACCACAATACTTCACTGTGCAACCAGTGAACTATGGTACTCTACCTATATAAAATGCTGTTTTATAAAGTGGATTTTCTCATTCCAGCTAAGGCAGCCTTTTATTTTGTTTGTTTGTTTCTCTGAGAATAAATCTATTTGGTCTTCATTTTTTCCCCCCAAGTGATTTTCTCTTGCTTCTGTGGAATTATTCCTCCTACATGGGAATGAGTAAAACAGAATTTCACCTGTACTGCTTTCAGTGATGAATACAGAAATGGGGTATATAAGTTATTGTGATGAAAATTCAGTTAAGCCACTTGTTCTCAGAGGAATTCCTCATTACAGTTGAATTTTCAAAACTGTTATAACACAGTGGAAACAAATTTACAGAATTCTGGGGTTTTTGTACAGAAATTTCTTAAATATAAGATAATTTAACCTATTGTCTTGAAAATATTACTTAGCCGTTAAGTGGCCACAGACCTGGGGGGTAACAACTTGAGTATACCAAAGTTTGCAACTTAATACTACACAAAAGGTATACAGTACAGTTAATGCATGATATCAATTCAGTTGCTTTATAGATCAGATCTTTGTTCCAAATAAAATGCTGAATCATTTGCCTTTTCTGTGCACAAGTCCTATAAATACAGCTTCAAAATTACTTGTGCCAAGAGATTTCTTGCCCTTCTGTTCTTTTGAAACTTTTTTTGGAGACCATGCCCTGCACAGGCCAAATAGCATGAGAGTCGATGCCTACATTCCAACCTTGTTCATGAATTGTGCTGCAGCTGTCTTGGACATACAGATGACCTGTTAATCACACCAGACTGGCACACATCTTTATAATAAGGTGTCCTTCTTCTTTTTGTGGTCTGACAGAAGGGATACAATGTTTAAATTTCCTTGGGAGTCTGAGTTAACATTTCATGAGCAGTTGAAGTTTGTATTTCTCAGATGGTTGTAAGTAAACCTACTCAACGCTATTTAACAGAATGAGATGGGGGAAAGAGCAGAAGGAAAATGGCAGAATTAAGCTTACTGTGTCTGCTGCCTTTTGCGCACTTGAAATGCTTATGAAGAGTTATGGGTGAATTCCAGCAGCTCTGTGAAAACCGCATCCATTTTGACAGAATTAAAGCCCTGGAAACAGAGAATTGTGAGGTGTTTGGCGTTTAATGCTCTATGCTCCCCCCTCCATGCCTGGATTCTGGTCTGAAGATCAGCTGACAGTTCAGCCTGGTGGGAAACATTCCTCATTCAGCAGCATCATTTTGAAACGATGAAAAAAAGCCACATTGCATAGCATAAGTTATGAGGATTTAGCTCATATTTGTCTAGAAACCTTATTTTGCCTTGTTCTCCTGCCCTTGTGGAAGTATACATTTTTGCCTTTCAGAGTACCTGACATCTGCAGCCTTTCTGGAACCTCTTGCCATAGACTCCAGGGGTTTGACGTGTCAAATGTTCAGAGGCTGTTGCTGAAGCAGTGGACTGTTGGGAGTGAAATCTGAGCATGTTTTCGCTGTACAAGTCTCTCTCTCAGTAGCTTGTCAGGCATCTGCTGTCAATGCCAGTGCTGTGGTCTCTGGTGTGTTGAGTGGTGGCTGCCCCAGGCTGTCAGCCAAGCTCCACACAGCCTGGTTTGGGAGAGAATTGGGAGGGCAGATTCAGAACCTCAAGGCCTTTCTGCACTGGTGAGCAGACTGCGGCTGAGCAAGAGTCTGGCAGGGGACACAGCCAAGTTTGCAGAGCCCAGCGGACCAAAGGGAAAACCCAAGCCATTATAGTTCCACGTGCAGCAATAAAATTGGGATGGAGAGTGGAGGGATGAGGGTTTGGCAAAACCAGATGTCACTGTGAGGCCAGCTGGGCATTGCTTTGCTGTCAGGAGGTGGTGAGTGATCATTTTTCCATCATCTACCCTTTTTTATTTCTTAATTTATTAACCCAGCTTTATCTCCACCCAAGAGCTGCTTTGGGTAACCTGTTCCAGTGCCTCACCACAGTTAGAGCAAATAATTTCTTCTTTCCTCTATTTCAGTCTGAACCCATTCAATTTCAATCCATTATTCCTTGTCCTATCAGTACAGTTCCTGACAAAGAGTCCCTCTGGCTTCCTTGTAGGCCCCTTTCAGATACTGGAAGGCTGCTATGAAATCTTCTTCAGGCTGAACAGCCCCAGTTTTCTCAGCCTGTCTTCATAGGAGAGATGCTCTTGTCCCCTTATCAACTTTGTGGCCCTACTCTGGACTTGGTCCAACAGCTCCATTTCCTTCTTATCAAAATATCCTGTTGAGTGGTAGCCCTCAGCCATAAAAATGTCATGCACAATTTTTGAAAAAGCAATATCAAATACTATAATAAATCAGAATATTAACACACTTGTATGTTTAATATCAGCCTCATTACACTTGCTTGCCCTAATCTTAGGCCTTTATTTCCTTTGAAGCTGTTTTCCTGATATGTGATTTGTTTGGGTCCAGCAGTGTCTGAGTTCCATGTTGTTCTGCAGACATTGTTCCAGTACTCCCTCAGTGCTTTTGCCTGAGAATGACTTCATAAACCATGGCAAGATTGCCTATATTAAACATTAAAAAAGGCTAGTAATGTCATCAATAGAAAGTAGGAGTTGAGGATATCTCTCCCACAAGTGCCATAATTCCTCTGAACCGGCCAGTTTTATTATTTGCCTACATTAGCGTGCCCCACTGCTTCTAACATTACTGCCTTGGCACTCCTCCTCCTCATCCCCCAGAGAAAAGCAGGGATACCCTCTCTGGCTACTCTATCTTATCAGTCCCTTAGGAAGAAACAAACAGGAGAGGTGTAGCTGCACTGCTGACCCTGGAGAGCTTGGAAAACAGCTGCATCTTATTTCAGGTGTTTCTGGATGCCTTCTGCCTCTCTTGAAGGTAACTCACTTTCAGTAAAAGTGGCAGGCACCTTTGCTTCCAGAACACAAGTTTAACCTGTTGTAAACACCAGTCAGTCAGTCTTGGCACGGATGTAGCCTGGGGCAGCCTCAGCTTTCAGAAATGGCCAAGTCTATTTCTGTGGTACAGGAGGCTCCCTCAGTGGTACCTCAGTGCCCTGGGTGGTTTGGGTCTCCTCCCTCACCAGAGCTCTGAGTGCTCCTCTGCCCTTGTTTTTGGCCAATCTCCTCCACTGCTGTCTTCTCTTTATTGTTTTGGTTACTTTTAGTGTTCACTACACATTTCTGCACTGCTGTCAGCAAGGATCCTGCATTGCATACACAGATCATACATATGGAAACTTTAAGGCTTCTGCAAGTGATTTTGTTTTAATTTCCTCAGTTTTCCTATCCATGTCTCTTTGTGGTTCTTTTCGTACATCTGTCTGCATCACTTTGAAGAGTCAGCTTATTTATTTCAAAAGTGCACAACAACTGGTTTTCTTGAATAATTTCCTGGGTAAATTATGCAATCTTACACTGAATGTTGTATTAACCATGAATATGTGGGGTGGTATCATCATTCTTGATATGAGGGTTGGCACTATAAAGAAAAGATTTTGCTGCAAGACATTAGGAATAAAAAGAAAGGAAATGTGAGTTTACCGATCTGATTACAAGCCAACTGACAACCAGAACCTCTACATGAAGGATTTAGACAATTAAGGACTCCTGCTTTATTTTAAATTATATTCTTCTTTCACAGAGGCAGCAATATACATTTACTGTTACCAGTGAATCTTCCCCTAGCATGTGATGCAGTAACTGCTTTTCAGTTTCCTTGTGTTTCACAACAGAGACAAAAGACATTTTGTGCAGCATCTGATGGAAACCGAACTTTTGAAATCAGTAAATCAGTGACTCCTTGTGCCTTTAAAAACCAAATTATAGTTCAGAAATTCTGGACTTCTATGCTGCTGTACATTTACTCCCACCTTTTGAAGGAAAATATTGTAATTTTTTACCCACATTTCTTAGGTAAAAAAAAAGAAAAAGGAAAAGAAAAAAAGACGGAAAAAAAGTACTCTGCATTTCTATTGGTGTTCAGCTGAAGCTGCAGTTTCACTTTGAACAGAATTGAAACTCGAGCTCTTAGATGGGTGACAGCAAATTCCTAATATAAAAAAAAGTCAGCCTTATTCCAAAAGGAAATGCTAAGTGTCAGTACAGCTATTAAAATTTCCACAGTTTGTAGGTTTTAGGCTGCAAGGGAGATCTTCAAGGATACTGAGCACCTGTCAAAGATTACAGGGTTGCGTGACTGGACACTGTGATTTAGAAAACCTTCTTGCAATCAAAGCAAGTAGACATTAAGCGTCTCATACTCCAGTGTCATGTACCAGGGAACGGCTGGGTGCTTGAAGAAATCAACATACACAGTCAAACTTGTGCCGACTCATTCTCTTCTTTCATGATTAATTAAGCATATTTGGTGAATAATTATAAACGAGTGGAAGGTAACTTTCCTTTGTGGTCACATAGAGTGTGAAAAATTCAGAGCGGAATAACTAGTGTGTGGTGTTTGTAGTGCAGGTTTTCATCCTACTAGAAATGTGTTGAATGTTCTTGCAGCACATAGTAGGACTTTAGTAAGATTTCTGCATTAGTTACAGTAGCACTCAGTGAAAACCTCAGTGCATCTTGTGTGAAAAGCAAAATCCAGTTATCAATAAAGAGCAGAGGAATCATACTTTGTTGTAGTATTTTAGTATTCAGTCACAAGGGTGAGAAATATAGTCCCGAATTAATATAGCTGGGAATTAATGAGCCTTTTCCTAGGCCCTGATTAAAATGGCAATGACTTTCTTGTTTTTGTGTTCATGTCTAAATGACTCAGACTCTAAACACAGGGAATTTGCAAATATGACTGCAAATTCTTTCCCTGTTCATTCTTCAGGTTCCAGGCATCTGAAAAGAGTTTCTCAGCTCCATCATGGTCAAAGACATTATGAATTGCTATTTAAAATGTAAATAAAAATATGTAGGGAAAGAAGACATGAAAAACCTCACAAACTCCACCTAATAAATATCCTAATCTGTTCTGCTAAGCACAGAGACTTCTAAGTAAGAAACTCTCAGACAGGCACTGTGTTCTGTGTAATGCTGGATTGTCACCAGCTTAAGTCTATCCTTGTAATTTTTAATTCTGACCCTTCTACACTCTCCCATGCAATTTTCACCTTTCTGTATGCTGTTTCCTATGCCCTTACCACTATATTTTTTATCATGCTTTATTTTGGTTCCCTTCCCCAAAGTCCCATTCACTTAATAGACATTTCTTCCGTAAAGTATTCAGCTTAGAACTGTCCCAGTTCTTGAAGCTATTTGCATCAGGAATGAATGCCAAAAAAAAAAAAATAATTATAAAAATTACTAAACTTCTAAATCTAAACTATTTTTAACATCAATTGACTATGTCTGTATCTCAATTCATGCAACTTATACTAAAAAAGAGGGATGGGTAAAACAAGGAACTTGGTCTCCTGCAAATGTTAATTGTCTGAAGTGGCTGGTTATCCTTATGTAGTGCGTTTGTCTCCCAGCTGATTGATTTTAAACTTTGTGGCCAAATACTTTGCAACTGTCCCCCTTCAGAGTTCCCTGTGGCTTGGATATTTATCTCCTCTGAGTAGGTCTTATAGTTCTTTATGGTGTGACACTGTAGCAAGGTAAAACACAGTTTGAAATGAAAACTTCAAAAATAACGAAGAAAACAGTGAATTGCAGCATATAAATTGCAGAATAAAAGCACGTGAATTTATGAGTAATGTGAAAATTTGTTTAAAAGGGGGAAAATAAGAGTACTCCATTATTTCTTAGGGGTGGAGCAGAAAATGAGGTACTGTTGTTTTAAGTACAAATATTTGAGGAAGTGGGTTGCAACAGTTGTTTCACATTCAATTATTTCTCAAGTTGCAGTTGAGGTGAAGAGTAATAATAGAGCAGTGATTACTGCTGTTGTCTTGAGTAAGTTATGTCATATTATACTCTCCTCTGGACCTCATCTGAACCAGTGGGGACCACTTTTATGCTGTTTTCTTCTGCTCTGATTTATAGGCTCTTCAAACAAAAAATCTGCCAGATCTGGAAGCACACAGAAAATGGTATGTTAAACTTTCATTTTAAATTTACTCTTAGACATCTTTTACTGGAACTGTTGTGGAAGACTTTAAGAACATTTTCTACTTTTCTGCTTTCTAACTGTTCAGTTTTACTATTATAATTAGAAACTGCAGTGCATTATGAAAGGAAGGGAAAGCATTTGCTCTAATACTTATTTGCACTGCAGTGCTACAGAACGTGTATAATAACGTCTTTTCTAATTGCTGTAACTTCTGAGGTGTTCATTTTTCTCTACACTTTCCTCCTGTTACCTTTTAAAATACATGTGAAATCTCTACAGAAAATCTTTCTTCAGAAACACCTAGTTGTACTGTTGCTGAACATTTGAAGAACACTAAATCATTAAGGGTTTTTGCACATGCTCATTAGGATCAGTGGATTACTGCTTTTTGAACTTCTTATGAAGCCAAGTGTAGATCACAGAGAAAAGAACAGTTCACATGCACACTCCAGCTGTACTTTTAAACAAGCTTCTCGTTGCAAAGATGTTGCTTGTTTCTCATATTTAAAAGTCTTTTTATTTGTTCTGGTACTTAAGCAGCTCCTAAGTGTTACACATGCAAATAGTCAGATACAACACCAGAATGCAACAGCTTACAGTTAAAATACATAATACATTACAAAGATATTAGGAAAGAGAAGAATATACAAAGCAATGAAGCACAAAGACGGTAGGAGCTAGGCTGGCTCTGCAACAACACTTAGGTTCCTAATAGTACTGTAATACGTGAGAGTTCAAAATCTGAGCATTGTAAATACTCCAAAGGTCTTCTTTGACTTCTTAAGAAACCTAGAAACATATTTATGAAGACTTTTAAGGTCCATATTCATTGCACCTGATTTCAGGCACCTAAATCAGCAGTGTGAGTCTCTGGTGTGTAGTCAGTCAGAGCTCCTTCCATCTCCAGAGCCCAGCAGCACCTACAGAGGGGCTCCCTCTTCCTCTTCCTCTCTCTCCCTCTCCCTCTTCCTCTCTCTCTCTCTCTCTCTCTCTCTCTCTCTCTCTCTCTCTCTCTCTCTCTCTCGCTCGCTCGCTCGCTCTCTCTCTCTCTCTCCTCTCCCACTCTCTTGAACATCAGTGCAGCCCAGGTTGGTGGCAATGATTTGAGGAACTTGGGTAAGCACCTGAAATTAAGGACCTGAGTGCAGTAGCTGCTTATGAGTTCATGTAGGAAGTTTGTGTTGTCAATCTGGACTGCAATTACACCTTGCCCCTGTCCTGCTCTAGTGCTTGGATAGAATGACTTAATGTGGTTTATCAGATCTTTAAAGGTTGAATCTAATTTACTTTTCCTTCCTTCCTTTAAAGTTAGAATGGCTTCTGGAGTCTGATGTGCAGCAACTGTCAGTATTTCCCTCAGTGACTGCAGGTTCTTTGTCCATGGCTGGTGACGACTGGCACTTCATGTTCTGCTGTGTTGTGCATCAACAGATAAAGGTAATTGGCACCAATACAATGGAGCAATATGTCCTGCAGTGCAGAGAGTCTCTGCAGTTCCCCTACAGCCTCTCTGCCATGCTTCATGAGAACCTGCCTTGGATAATGGTCCTGGCCCTGGGATCCATTGGTCTGCTAAAGCAAGAGATGGAGGGAGGCAGGTGCTGGGACATCATAGGCCATTTGGTTAGGATAGGCACTCTTTGGCTTTTCTTTAATCTCATAATGTCTTTTACATGCATAATATGGTGTATTTCCTGGAAAAAAGGATGGAAGGAAGGAAGGCAAAATCTTTACAAGATTCTATAAAGATTTTTCTTTGGCAATGCCTCTTGTCATTTGAATAAAGACCTTCAGTTTTCCATGTAATGAATAGCAGTGGTAGAGCCCTCCCTTCTCCCTTTCACAACCCTGACTGCATTAGTGGAGAAAAAAGAGTTTAAGAAAAAGATCTAGGGAGCTGGGAGGAAATGAATGCTTATTATCTTTTCCAAATTTGCTCCCCACATACTCTGATTATTCTTATGCATCATTTTCATCCAAAGACATTTCTACATCAGGAAATCAGAAAAGTTAATCCTCCTCTCAAGGGGATTGGCTAGACTGAGCTGAAAATGCTGGTAAACTCTCTTACGCAGTGGTATCCGTCTGGGTGAGAGTCCAATGTGAATTCCACGATGAATAACCAAATGGTGGTTAGTTTGATTCCTATCAGCCATATTATTTAGCTCCCCTGCCTTTTCTAAGGGGATCTGCTGAAAAGAAAGTGGCACTGTAGCATTGCCAGGGAATAGGAAAGAATGTGGAATAGGAAAGGCTGGGGTGTAGTACTGTACTAGGTTACATCTCTGGTGGACTTCTACATTTTTTCTTCTGAGGCTCTGAATCCCCAAAGTGACGCCATTAGGCTGTGGACTCTAGATAGCAGAAGTGCAGTGCTGTGTGAGACCTGATCTGCCTTCTCACACATCTGCTGCCCTGCAGGTCACTAGAGCACTCTTCCAGGTAGATGGATGCAGAGGTAGGATTAACATAGTTCTATAAGGTAACACAGAAACACAAAGTTGTCTAGGAGACACTGTGGTCGAAGTAAACAGAGCATACAACAGGAAGACTCGCTTCACCTCCAAGTCTGTGTCACCTGCAAGGCATGTCTTTGTAGCACTCAACAGGGTTTGCACAGACTGCTTGAGCAGGTCTCTGTATATTCTTGTGCCCCAGCTAAAGAGAAAAAAACATTTCCTTGTATCTTGGACATTTTACCTAATCATCCAATTTTCTGCTGCTTACCTGGGTTTTAACATTTAATCAATATTATCCAGACAAATACTGCTTATTTAAGAGCCCTCTATGTGTCGTGCATCTTCAAGCCTTCAACACTGAGTTTTCAAGGGAGAAATGGTCAGCACCTGACGCCAGCAGTTAAGATGTTGGGCAGTGCAGCAAAATGGTCACGGCCTCTCTGCCTGTGTCACACAAGCCAAGGCTGGCAACTTGCCAGCCAGGGTTTCTTTGACACTGACCACTGCTGAGGAAGTGAGGGGTAAGCTGTGACATATTAAAAGCTTATTGTCCTTCCCATAATACATATAAATCTATAAAGTAGGCAAGAGCACAAAGACTTGACAGACACAGAGAATGTTTTGAAAGTTTCTTTAAATGCCTGTGGGATTTTGGCTCTGGGTATTTAATGCTTATGAGTCTTATATGGAACATGCTCAGTTTTAAACCTGTCTTTGACTTTCATTTTCACACTTCACATTGCTACAGTGTTTTCTTGGCTCCCTGTCCTTATCGAAGAGTGAAAATGCAAGGTGGTATTAAACCTTATGGAAATAAAGCCATAGAGTGGCTTAGGTCAGCTCTCCACCTGTGCTGACGCTTCAGTAAGTTTGAAAGTCTACACTAGTTTTTAAGGGACTATAGATTTTATCTATCATACACTATGAAACAGTAACTTTTACTCATCTACTCCAATATGCAATGGCAATCTGTTGGAAGTTTAACACCTCCTGTTTCCCCTTAAAAGAAAAGAACATTCACAGAGATGTAAATTTCAATCACCTGTGTTACCACTTTTTCAGTAGATTTTTTTTACCAATTCCTTATTTAGAGAGTGATATTTATATTAACGCTGCAATACATCCTGATGATAAAGTAAGGAATACCAACAAAACTTATAATCCTACCTGCACATCTACAAGTGTAGACCTATTTGGTCTGACGCAGTGTGTGGGTGAAATGTTTAATTACCTTAAACTAATACCTGTGCTTCCTTATTTTTAGGTACCTCGTGCAAAGATGTCAAATGCTTTGCTATTTGTCTTGCTCTTCCTGTTTCCGATGCTGCTGTCTGGAGCTTGGTTTCCCAAAACTTTGCCCTGTGATGTTAAATCTTCAGAAGGTACTGTGACAGTGGACTGCACCTACCGGCGTCTCACACAAGTCCCCAGAGGGATCCCTGAAAACGCTACCAACCTCACCCTGAGTATTAACCATATTCCCCATATCTATCCAACATCCTTTGCTCAACTTAAAAACCTCATGGAGATTGACTTCAGATGCAACTGTGTGCCTGTCAGACTGGGGCCCAAAGACCTTGTCTGCAACAGAAGACTGGAGATTGAGAATGGCAGTTTTGCTGCCCTGACAAGACTGAAGTCACTGTACTTGGATGCAAACCAGCTGTTGGAAATACCCCGAGGTCTTCCTGCTACTTTAACCCTGCTGAGCCTGGAAGCAAATACTATCTTTTCTATCCAAAAAGCCAACTTGTCAGAGCTAGGAAACATAGAGGTATTGTATCTGGGACAGAACTGTTACTACCGCAATCCATGCAATGTTTCATTTGAGATTGAGGAAACAGCCTTTCTGGAGCTGAAAAAATTAACAATACTATCCCTGAAGTCCAACAACTTAACACATATTCCATCCAATTTGTCATCTACTTTGAAGGAACTGTATATTTACAATAACAGGATTCAAGTGATTCAAGAACAGGATTTAAGTGCCCTTCTCAACCTAGAAATTCTCGATCTAAGTGGCAACTGCCCACGTTGCTATAATGCCCCATATCCTTGCATTCCCTGCACCAGTGGCTCGATTCAGATACATTCAAAGGCTTTTGATTCCTTGAAAAATTTAAGAATTTTGCGACTTCACAGTAACTCTCTTCAGAGCATACCCAGCAGTTGGTTTAAAAACATCAAGAACCTCAAAGAACTTGACCTCTCCCAAAATTTCCTCATGAAGGAGATTGGCGATGCTCAGTTTTTGAAGTTTGTCCCCAGCCTGGTGGAGCTTGATCTGTCCTTTAATTTTGAACTCCAGTTGTATTCTCCCTTCTTGAAACTGTCTGAGACATTTTCTTCCCTCTCTAACCTGGAAACCTTGAGGCTCAAGGGTTATGTCTTTAAAGAACTGAGAGAGGAGGATCTACGCCCACTGCTCAGTCTTAGGAATCTCACCGTCTTGGATCTTGGGACTAATTTTATTAAAGTTGCAAACCTGACAGTGTTCGAAGAATTCCCAGCTCTTAAGTTCATAGACCTCTCAGTGAATAAAATTTCTCCTTCTTCAGGGGAAAGCAACTCCAATGGATTCTGCTCTAATCTTGGGTTTTCAGGAGAGCACTACAACAGGCAAGTACTACAAGAGATGCATTATTTTAGGTATGATGTGTATGGGCGAAGTTGCCGTTCCAAAGATAAAGAGGCTGCTTCCTACCAATCTTCAGTTAAGGAAGATTGCCTGCAATTTGGAAAAACTCTGGATTTGAGCAGAAATAATGTATTTTTTATTAACCCCTCAGACTTCCAGGGACTTAGCTCCCTTACATGTCTCAACTTGTCAGATAATGCAATAAGTCAAACTTTAAATGGAAGTGAATTCTCCTACTTGTCTGGATTGAAATATTTGGATTTTTCTAACAACAGGGTTGATTTGCTATACCAAACTGCTTTCAAAGAGCTAGAACATTTAGAAATTCTTGACCTGAGCAATAATCAACATTACTTTCTGGCAGAAGGTGTTACTCATGTGCTTAATTTTGTGAAAAACCTAGACCATTTGAGGAAGCTGATGATGAACGATAATGACATTTCTACCACCATTAACACAGGAATGGAAAGTCAGTCTCTTCAAATTTTAGAATTTAGAGGAAATCGTTTAGATGTTTTATGGATGGATGGCAATGCTAGATACTTATCCTTCTTCAAGAATCTGACCAGCCTGGAAGAACTGGATATTTCCTTCAACTCACTCAGTTTTTTGCCTCCCACTGTTTTTGAAGCAATGCCTCCCAAACTCAAGCTCCTCAACTTAACCAATAATCAATTGAAGAGTTTCAACTGGGAAAACCTCCACTATCTGAAGAAACTAGTAACTCTGGACCTGAGCAATAACCTTCTGACCACTGTTCCCCGAGAACTGTCCAATTGCTCCTCATCGCTGCAAGAACTGATGCTCCGAAACAATCGTATTCAGCAGCTAACCAAACATTTTCTCAGAGGTGCTTTTAAACTGAGGTATTTGGACCTCAGCTCAAACAAGATTGAAGTAATTAAGAAATCTAGCTTCCCTGAAAACGTCATCAACAACCTGAAGATGCTGCTTTTGCATGGCAACCCTTTCAGGTGCAACTGCGAGGCCGTGTGGTTTGTCTGGTGGATCAATCAGACTCAGGTGACTATTCCTCTTCTGGCCTCAGACGTGACCTGTGCTGGCCCAGGGGCACATAAGGGAAGGAGCGTGGTTTTCTTGGATCTGTATACCTGTGAGCTGGACACCTCGTATTTGATCCTGTACGCTCTATCAGCTTCAACCGTCCTCAGCTTTATGGTGCTTGCGGTGACGAGCCATCTGTACTTCTGGGATGTGTGGTATAGTTACCATTACTGCACCGCCAAGCTGAAGGGCTATCGGCGTTTATCTTTACCAGATGCCTGTTACGATGCTTTTATTGCCTATGACAACGAAGATCCAGCTGTGAATGACTGGGTGATGGAAGAACTGGTTAGAAGGCTGGAAGACCGAAAAGCCAGGCAGTTCAATTTATGCCTGGAAGCAAGGGACTGGCTCCCGGGACAGCCGGTCTTTGACAACCTTTCCCAGAGCATTCAGCTGAGCAAAAAGACTGTATTTGTGCTGACCAATAAGTATATTAAAAGTGGCAGTTTCAGGACAACCTTTTACATGGCCCACCAGCGGCTTCTAGATGAAAAACTGGATGTCATTATCTTGATATTTCTTGAGAAGGTTTTGCAGAAGTCGCGCTATGTCCGTCTGAGGAAGAGGCTGTGTCGAAATTCTGTCCTGGAATGGCCAACTAACCCTCAGTCTCAACCCTTCTTCTGGCAGTGCCTGAAAAATGCCATAGCTACAAACAATTTGCTGGCTTATAACAAGCTTCTCCAAGAAACTGTTTAGCTCTACCCTTCCCCATAAAATTTGTTATGATGTTCATGCACCTGGCTTGGGATTTATTACTGCAGAGCAAGAGATAATGCACTACACCCTGGAAGTCACTGGTTTAGAACAAAATTGCCACTTCCAGCTTTCAGTTCACTAGAGGCCTCTAGCATCTCCTGTGGTTGGGTCGAGTGTGGGTTAGACACTTTATCAACATACTCGACTACACAGACTGCAGGAGAGACCATGCCTGAAATTGCTGCTGTTCAGATATTGTTGGAGTAAATGTGATTTTCATAGAAAATTTTAGTTTCTGTATTTGAGGTATTTATGAAAAACAAGATAAATGCTTGCTGGCATATTTGTCTCTGCAAATGCATTTAGTAAAACTCATGCTTTGATCTTAGGAGTTGGGAAAATACAGGGTTTCTTCTCTTTTTGTGTTAGGCTTCCAGCTTCTGAGTCTGCCACTTCTGTCCGAGTGGGGAACAATCCTAATCTCTGGGGATAAGAAATTCCGTTGAGACTTCTGTCAGAGGTTTGTGTCTGGTACAGGAACTCTCCCATTGTTGCACTGCCAAGAACCTCGTAAATCTGAAGAAACTTTGAAGAATGTGTGTGGACTAAAATGGGAAGGTGTCTGAGAAACAAGTTCAGAAGGGCTTGTAGGCTGTGGGTGGGAAGGAGTTATAAGATAAAGGGAGTCCTTGTGCATGGAGCTGCTGCATGGGAGCAAGAAGAGGGATTAGGATAGCAGATAGGCAGAGGGAGAGGCACAAGGCAGATGGACAAAATCAATTAGACCACAGACACAAAGAAGTAGATTATCTTCCAGATCCCTTCCAATCCAAACCATTCTATGATCTCAGCTGCCTCTGGTGGTTCCTTTCCTAGCTTTCCTGTCTGGTCCTTTCTTTAAATAGTTCCTTTTTGATTTAGTTGTAGGCAGGCAGGCAAGATCACAGACATAAACAAGAAAACTAATGTTCATATAATAATATTACAGATAGTAAGGGTGTTTTTCCTCCAAATTTATCATAGTGGTGTTACTAATTAACAACAGAAGCAGGAGAAAGAGCGGGGCCTATTTAGAAGAGTGAGTGTTTTATGGTTTTATTTTGACATTGGAAGAAGGATCTGGGGAACTACAGGCCTGAGCCTGACACCGGTGCCAGGGAAGGTCATGAAGATCATCTCTAATGCCATCATGCAAAAGTACAGGACAAGCAGGGGGTAAGGTCCAGCCAGCATGGATTTATGAAGGGCAGGTCTTACTTGACCAATCTGATCTCCTTCTGTGATAAAATGACCTGCTTAGCAGATGATATTATTGTCTAGATATTAGTAAAGCCTTTGACATTATTTCCCATAGCATTCTCCTAGAGAAACTGTCTTATCATGATGTGGACAGATGTACTCTTCACCAGGTAAAAGCTGGCTGGATGGCCTGGCCCAGAGAAAGGTGGTGAATGGAGTTACATCCAGCTGGCAGCTGATCACCGGTGGTGAAAAAGAACTTGGGGGGGCTGATTGGCAGCTGGCTGAACATGAGCCAGCAGTGTGCCCAGGTGGCCAAGAAGGCTGGTGGCATCCTGGCTTATATTAGAAATAGTATGGCCAGAAGGACTAGGTCAGTGATTTTCCAGCTGCACTCAGGAGGCTGCACTTCGAATTCTGTGTTCAGTTCTGGGCCCCTCACTACAAGAAAGACATTGAGGTGCTGGAGAGTGTCCAGAGAAGGGCAACAAACCTGGTGAAGGATCTGGAGCACAAGTCCTATGAGGAATGGCTGAGGGAGCTGGGATTATTTAGGCTGGAGAAAAGGAGGCTGACAGGAGACCTTATGGCTCTCTATAACTTCCTGAAAGGATGTTGTAGTGAGGTGGGAGTCAATCTCTTCTCCCGGGTAGCAAATGACAGGATGAGAGGAAATGGCCTGAAGCTATGCCAGAGTAGGTTTACATTAGGTATCATGAAAAAAACATGTGGATATGGCACTTGAGGATACACTTGAAGGGTAAACATAGTGGTGGTACTGAGCTGGCAGTTGGAATTGGTGTTCTTAGAGGGCTTTCCAACCTTAACAATTCTATGATTCTGTGGTTTCTCATGGTTGTCTGTAAACCTAAACAATTTGTGCCTCTAAATAGAACATGATCTGTAATACAGCTATCTTCATGAGGTAGAATCATAGAATAATACCATGGTTTGGGTTGGAAGAGACCTTAAAGATAATTCCATTCAAACGTCTTGCCATGGGCAGGGACACTTTCCACTTCACCAGATTGTTCAAACCCTTATCCAGCCTGGCCTTGAATACAAGGATGGGGCATCCACAGCTTCTCTAGGCAACCTGAGTGTGTCACCACCCTCACATTAAAGAATTTATCAATTATATCTAATTTAAAGTTACCCTCTATCAGTTTAAAGCCATTCCTCCTTGTCCTATCACTACATGGCCTTGTACAAAGCCCCACTTCAGCTCTCTTGTAGAGCCCCTTTAGGTTCTGTAAGAAGCTCTAGGGTCTTCCTTGAGCCTTCTCTTCTCTGGGCTGAAGAACCCCAGCTGTCTCAACCTATCCTCATAGGAGAGAGGCTCCAGACCTCTGATCATCTTTATGGTCTTCCTCTGGACTTGCTCTGAAAGGTCCCAGTCCTTCTTATGTTGGAGGCCCCAGAGCTGGACTCATCAGTCCTCACAAGAGCAGAGTAGAGGAGGAGAATCACCTCAAAAGACCATACATTTTGATGCAGCCCAGGACACAGGCTTTCTGAGCTGCAAGTAGACATTGTCAAGTCGTGTTGAGCTTCTCGTCAACCAATACGCTCAAGTCTTTCTCTTCAGCTCTGCTCTCAATCCATTCTCCATCCAACCTGATTTTGTGCTTGACATTGCCCCAACCCACGTGGAGGATCTTGCACTTGTAGAGCAAGTCCTTGTTGAACTTCACGAGGTTCACACAGGCCCATCTCTCAAGCCTCTCAAGGATCCTCTGGATGGCATCCCTTCTGTCCAGCATTTCAACCACACCACACGGCTGGGTGTCATGAGAAAACTTGCTGAGGGTGCAGTCAGTCCCACTGTCCATGTCACTGACAAAGATGTTAAGCAGCACCATTCCCAACACCAACCCCTGAGGAACATTACTTATCATGTACCTCCACTTGGACATTAAGCTCTTTGAGTGCAACCCTCCAGCCAGCTGCTTATTCACCAAGTGGTCCATCTGTCACATCCACATCTCTCCAGTCTAGAGACAAGGATGTCATGTGAGACTGTGTCAAATGCTTTGCACAAGTGCAGGAAGACAATATCAGTCACTTTTCCCTCATCCACCAACACTCCAGCCCCAGTGTGAAGCCATATTGGCTGTTGCCAATCACATCCTTATTTTCCATGTGCTTTACCATAGTTTATAAGAGGATCTGCTCCATGATCTTAAAAGGCACTAAGGTGAGACTGACTGTAGTTCCCCAGAATTTCTTTTTTTCCCTTTTTAAAAATGAGGGTTACATTTCTCCTTTTCCAGTCAGTGGGAACTTCACCAGACTGCCACAACTTCTCAAATATGATGGATAGTGACTTAGGCACATCCTCCTCCATTTCCCTCAGGACTGTGGATGCATCTCATTAGGTTGCATGAACTTCTGTACCTTCAGGTTCCTTAGATGGTCTTGAACCTGATCTTCTCCTACAGTGGGTGGTTCTTCATTCTCCCAGTCCCTGCCTTTACCTACTGCAATTCAGGTGGTGTGGCTGGAGCACTTGCCAGTGAAGATTGAGGTAAAGAAGTCAATGAGCACCTCAGCCTTCTCCATGTCCTTGGTAACCAGGTCTCCCATTTCCTTTCGGAGAGAGCCCACATGTTCTCTAGACTTAATTTTATCACCAACATTACCTATAGAAGCTTTTGTTGTTGCTGTTGACCAAATCTGGGCTTTAGCTTCCTAACTTGATCCCTGGTTGCTCAGACAATTTCTCTGTGTTCCTCCCAGTCTACCTGTCCTTTTTTCCACCCTCTGTAGGCTTCCTTTTGGTGTTTGAGTTTGTCCAGGAGCTCCTTATTCATCCATACAGGCCCTGGCATTCTTGCTTGACTTCCTTTTTGTTGGGATGCATTGCTCCTAAGTTTGGAGGAAGTAATCCTTGAATACCAATCAGCTTTCTTGGGCCCCTATTGCCTCCAGGGCTTTATGGCACTCTACCAGGCACCTCTGAAGAGACTAAGGTCTGCTCTCCTGAAGTCCAAAGTAGCGATCTTGGTCTGTGTCCTCCTCCCTCTCCTAAGGGTCTGAAATGTTTTTATGATCACTGCAGCCAAGTCAGCCTTGATCTTCATGTTCCCCACCAGCATCTCCTTGCTGGTGAGAGCAAAGCCCAGCACAGCACCTCTCCTTGTTGTCTTCTCTACCGCTTGCAGAAGGAATTTATCATTGATGCATTCCAGGAACTTCCTGGATTGTCTGTGCCTTGCTGTCTTATCCATACAACAGATATTGAGGTAGAGAAATTCCTCCCTGAGGACCAGGGCTTGTGAATGTGAGGCTACTCCTACCTATCTATAGAGGGCTTCAGTCACTCAGACTTCCTGGTCAGGTGACCTGGAGCAGACCCCCACTATAATGTCACCTGTCCCTGCTGTCCCTTTAATCTTGACCCATAAACTCTCACTCAACTCCTCATTCATCTCCAGGCAGAGCTCCATGCACTCCGGCTGGTCACTGACATAGAGGGTGACAACCCCTCCTCATCTCCCCTGCCTGTCCTTCCTAAAGAGCCTATATCCTTCCATTCCAACACTTTAGTCATAGGAGCCATCTCACCTAATCTCCGTGATGCCAATAAGATTGTAGCCCTTTAGGTTTACACACTTTCCTAATTCTTCTTGTTTATTCCCCATACTGTGAGAGTTTGCATAGAGGCATTTGAGTCCCCAACTTAATCATGGAATATCTTGAGTCAGAAGGGACACATAGGAATTACTAAGTTCAACACTCTGCTCCTTGCAGGACTATTTAAAAATAAACCATATCACTAGAAGTGTCATCCAGACAGCCCTCAAACTCTGACAGGCTTGATGCTGTAGCCATTTCCCTGGGGAGCCTGTTCAAGCAATTGACCAATCTCTCAGTGAAAAACCTTTCCCTAATGACCAGTCTGGACTTCCCTTGACACAACTTCATATCATTCCTTGTGTCTTGATGCCTAAAATGGAAGAAAAATTCTCTTCTGGCCTATTCAAGAAGTGTGTCAGAGGTTCATCTTTGTCTTGCTTTACCTTGTATAATTTTGACCAAATTATTGCTTTCAGAATAACATGTCTTATACCATGCACCACCCAGTTCTGATAGGGTCTCAGCCTCTCTATCTGTTCTGCTACATTGGGATCCCATCTTGGATCTCGTAAAGGAAAATGATCATTGATTGTCCCTTGAAGGTTTCCTGCCTCTATTCCAGCTTCAAGCTACGCTCAAGCAGCTCACTGAACTGTCTCTTTCTCTGTTTTGTCAAGTAATGTGTCCATCATAGCC